GTTTGGAAAGGGGAGGGGGAGCTGATTCTCCAGCCTTTGCTGATTCTCCTCCAAATCAAACCACCAAGCCAGCTGCCAGAGTGTCCACAGTGCTGACCCTGTGCGGCGCCCCATGGGGCTGTCCATCACAAGCACCCTGGATGCAGATCACCAGGTTTCTCTGCCGGGCACTTCTCCAACAAAGAAAGAAAGAACTCGCGGACTCAAAGCGATCTATAGGGCAGGGTAGAACTACCCCTGGGGTTTCCGGAGACTAACGCTTTACGGGAATAGGAAGTCCCCTCTTTGTCCCTCACTGATACTGGTGGGGACCCCTTCTCTCCCTCTCACTGCTGGCTCATCGTGACCCTGCAGAGCAGGGCAGAACTGCCCCTGCGAGTATCCGAGGCTATAACTCTTTATGCGAGTACAGAACCTCATCCTCTCCCTCGGATCAGCTGGTGATCCTTAAACACCAGTCCTTCAAAACCGTGCATTACAAGAAAACGACGAATCATAGGATGGCAAAGACCCCTCGATAAATGGGGCAGCCATCACTAATGAGCTGCTCAATATCAGTTCATAGTCTTAAAGATGATCACCGTGTACCCACATACCCAAAGAGCCCTAGTGGCACAGGAGGGACTAACCACAAGGTCAGCCGTTCAAAACCACCAGCTGCTCCTCGGGGGAAAGACGAGGCCGTTCACTTCCAGAACCCACAGGGGCAGGTCTACCCTGTCCTCAGGGTCGCGGTGAGTCGGCATCGGCTTGAAGCCGGTGAGTTTGGTTCTTATCCACATACACTTCACACGGGTTAAGACAGGGCAAAATCAATCTTTAAGGAAGTTTATGAAAGCAGAAGTCAATGCTGATCCCGCCTCTGGGTGGGGTCCACCCTTCCAAATGTCAATAGATCGGGCAGGAGTGGCTACATCTCAAGGTACAGTGTCTGTCTCATAAGCAAAGGCCCCGTGCCTGCTGTACCCACCGATGGACGTGAATGCAGCGAGAACCACAGGGCGCCACAGGGGCGTGTCCTCATGGGGAGCCAGCTTCAAGCAGCTGGCAACAAAGACTAGTGCCACCCCCCACTGGAGACATGTATGAAGTGGGCACTTGAGGGGAGCCGCCAACAGCCAAGCCACTTCTGAAAGCATGATCCGGTCCAGCCCCCAAATATGACCGTCAAACCAAAGGCCATTTTCACCTGACCAGCTGGCTGGGGGATCGGCCGAGTGACCACGCCTCATTTGGACAAGAGCATGATGGAGTGAAGCCCTCGGCCTTGTGGATCAGGACAGGCTGGCCCAGAGAGAACCTCACAGGCAGGAACCTGCAATCTCTCAGAGGACAGTCACGTGGGCAGCTGATGGCATGTGGACTTGCCCTCTGCGAGGAGCTGAGCACGGTGAGTCCTGCTGCCCAGGACTCAGAAAGAGCCACAGGCCCTGGCCAACAGCAGCAGGGGCCTGACACCCTGCTCCAGCCACAGGCACCCAGGAGCTGGTGCAAAGGCCCCCCATCCACCACGGGTTAAACCAGCTCCCCTGGGTCCCTTGCAGGGGTCCTTACACATAAACCCCATCCATGCTGCCAGGGGGCACACCTGGGTCCACCCATCCCTGGTGACCCTTGGCACTGCTGTCCCTGAGTCTAATGAAAGCGCCATCCTTCAGCCTGGCTTTTGTCTCCTTTTCTTAATCCCCCTTGTGGCTCTTGGAGCTGCATCTGTCTCCGGCCTGGCGAGTGGGACATACTCCCTGTCCCCTCTCTTCTCCTACAGGGCTCGCCTGATGCCTTTCCCAAGGCTGGGCATGTCACAGTTAACTAGTGTTGGTCAGCTTGAGAGGAAGCCAAAACTTTAAGCCCCAAACCAAAGCCGGCTTTCCCAGCTTGTGGCAGCCGCTCTGTGAGGGGTAGGACTGCACCCTGTGGGGCTTCCGAGGCTGGGAATTTTCCAGAGCCAAGTGCCAGGACATTCTTCCGAGGTACCTCTGGTAGGTTTAAGCTTCCCACCTTTGGGGCGAGCACTTAATCAGTTGCAGCACTCAGCGAGAGCCTGAGGCTTGATTCGTCTAACCCTGAAGGAGTGGTTCAGAAATTTTTCAAACCGGTAGACCATGAACATAGTTTAAATGGTGCAGGCAAAACCTTCCCAATAGGGTGGCAGATTGTTTTAAATCTTGATGTGACCAGGAAATGCGTGCAAAATTGATCTCTCCCTCTCTCTCTTTCACTGCCCTTGAGTTGACCCTGACTCATAGTGACCCTCTCAGACAGGCCAAAACTGCCCCTGTGGGTTTTTGAGTAGAAGGCCTCATCTTGTTCCTGAGGAGCAGCTGGTGGTTTTGAACTGCTGACCTTGCGGTTAGCAGCATAACGAGTAACCACTCTGCCACCAGGGCTGCTATAAAACTGATAGACACTATGGTTTCCATTGTGTAAAAATAGAAAAGATCACTATCTCATCTTCCATGTATTTTAGGATTGGCCACGAGACCAGAGAGGAACGCAGTCCTGCAGTGGGTTCTATTTTGAGCAACTGTCCACTCAGTCAGGCCGGCAGTTCGCATCCACCGGCAGTCCTGTGGGTGGCTCAGAAACCCACGGGAACAGCTCTACCCTGTCCTATGGTGCCAAGCTGAGTGGGAAACGCTTCACAGGCAGTGGGCCAGGGCAGTGGAACAGAATTACCTAAACCAAACCCTGAATGCCCCTGTGTTCAACCGGGACAAGTAAGCAACCCAGGCAGAAAGGGCCATCAGGGACCTGCGCTTGCCTCTGTTCTGCTGCTGGATGGAGGAAGAAGACAAGCTCCACTAAGAAGCCGAAGGGCAAGTGGTGTTGGTGCCAGGGAGTCCCCAGGACAGAGACAGGATTAGGCACAGGGTGTTGGCGGTGTCGGGCATGGCTGGCAGAGCACACACGTCATCTCGGTGAGAACCTGACCTTGGTGCCCGCTGGCTATAGGTCATGAGCAGGGCCAGTGGCCGCGCCCAAACCTGGAAGACTTATAGCCCAGAAATAAACAAATATAACAGCCAACACCCCTCTTGGTGGGGAGAATGAAGATCAAAAGTATAGAGTGTAGGTAAAACGCTTTCAGTATTTGGAAACATAACAGCAATGGTTCCTTAAAAACCCAGACATGCTGGGTGAATCCCTTTTGAAAATACAGCCTCATCCTGTTGACAAGTGGGTCCTGCAGGACTCAGGGTGACCCCACACGCTGAGGGATCGGTGGGGTCCCTAGGGTTCTCACAGGCTGGTTTTCAGAAGTACATCGCCAGGCCTTTCTTCCCAGTCTGCCTTCGCTGTGAACTCCACTGGAACCTGTTCTGCCTCACAGCCACACACGAGCCTCCCCTGACAGGCAAGGGAGGGGCCGTGGCCAGGGATCAAATTGAGGTCTCCACATGGGAGGTGAGGGTCCTACCCCAGAAACACCAGGGCTCTCATTCTCCTAGCATCTCTGCAACCACTGTCCTCCATGGCAATTTCCCCATAACCTAACTCTGTCCATTCCTTCCTGTGAAATGTAGGAAGGAGGTAAGGCGGATGAGCTGATGAGCCCCTTGCAGACTGCAAGGAGCCTGGGTGGCAGAGGGGTTATGCCTCAGGCTGCTAACTGCAAGGGCAGCAGTTTAGAACCACCAGCTCCTCCTGGAGAGAAAGATGAGGCTTTCTACTCCTGCAAAGAGTTATAATATTCCTCTGGGGGAGGCGGGGGGAGGGAGACCCCCAGGGGCAGTCCTACCCTGTCCTGTAGGGTCACTATGCATCAGCTTCGACTCAATGGCAGTGAGTTTGGACTTTGGTTTTTCGGATTTGGAGTGTGTTTCGATGGGTGTTGTGGTCATTACATCACCTGTTGTCAATTTGAGGCTTAAGAGTGAAGGGGTGGAGTTCAGCCTGTCAATCAATTCGTCATAGCTTGATGACCTCATTTGGAGTTGCTTAGGAGATAAATATCTCACTGGAGGTGGGACACAAGCACACACCCTGGGAGACACACTTGCTGACAAGACACATGGAGCTACTCTAGAGCCCTGTGAGCACTGACATGGTGCCACTGCCACAAGATCCACAAGACTTTCCACCCACTGTCCTGTGATCTTCCTGCATTCGGCATCATTGCATGAGTCTGAAGAGGAATTTATGGATTGGTATTGGATATACAGGCTAATATCGGACATTTGGACTTGATCTGGACTGGGATGTTTTCTCAATATTCAATTGCTCTTGTATATAAAGCTATTTCTTCTACACATGAGTGTCCATGAATTTCTCCAGTCTACCCAGACTGCTACAGATGTGCAGCATTGGCATGGTGGCCACGTCTGACCACCTCTGGCTACCCAAAGGAGAAGAAGAACCTCACGCCACATCTGCCCAGCAAGGCAGAAGTCAGATATGTTCCTCCCTCCAACCTCCTTTTCCTACTCTGCTACCAGCGGTCCCTCCCAGGACACTCTCCTTCTGTGCTGAGTTCCATAACCCAATAAGATGCCACATGGAGCTCACAGACAATGCTCAAGATTATAGGGATTTATTAGGGAAGCAAACCGGCCAGGAAATAACGATGCAATTCATTGGCCCACAGTGCCTCTTCTCAACCGTGCTGGCAGCCACGTCTCTCTGGTTCTCAAGCTCTCGGCGACATGGTCCCTTAGCCTCTGCAGTGTCTGGGTTTGGCTCCTCTGCTCCGTCTCAAGGTCTCGGTGCCTCCATGCCTTCAAGAAGGAATCTCGACTGTGCTCAGCTGTTGGTTTTTCCCGCTTGATGGCCGTAGGGTTCTCTGTTCCTGCTCCTGAATCGGTTCGCTATTTATCAGTGACCCTCACTAAGCATCCTCCGCATGCACTCCCTCAATCACTGGGTGGAGTTACAGAGGCCGCCGATAGGAGAGCCACACCAAGTGATCTCCCTTCCCCAGAAGGACATCATCACCTTCACCTGCATTTTGAGCACCTGGGTTCTAAGTGGTGCCGATGGCTTGTGCTCGATAAAACCCAACCCAACTCATTGGCGTTGAGTTGACTGGGGTGTGCATCCACCTGGTGGTGACGTGGAAGAAAGACCTGGCTATCGCCCCCGGTAAGATCTCAGCCAAGAAAACCCTATGGAATGGGTTCCACTCTGTCACCTGGGGTGTAGCCATGATCAGAATAACACAAGAGTGGTGGGTTTGCCTGTTGTGGTTTACTAGATGTGAGAGGCCAGGGGAAGCAGAAGAAAGGGCTGGCTGCCCCGTGGGCTAAGACCCCACTCACATCCATTCCCTGGATTGGCGAGCATTGCTCGGACATCTGGCATGTACTCCAGGCACTAGCACCACACAGACAGCAGCAGGGCTCGTGAGGGAGAAGATGGGAGGGGCTGCAGTTTGAAGAAGCCATGATCTTCTCTCGGGGAGTGTAGCCGGCTGCACACTGAACTGCTCACCACAAGGTCAGGGATTCAAACCCATGAGAGAAAGACAGGCTGACTGCTCCTACAAAGATATAAAGCCTTGGGACCCCAAGGGGGCAGTTCTCCTCTGTCCTATTGGGCTATTGTGAGTCAGAATGGACCAGGTGGCAGCGAGCTTGGTTTTAACTTCATGGAGCAAGTAGACGGGATGGAGAGAATGAGCTTATTTTGTGGTGTGGCTGCACATAGGTTGTTGTTGTTGTTGATGATGATGATGATGATACTGTCCAATGGGTTCTGACTCACAAGGACCCCACGAGATAAGAATGAGACCCTGCCTGGTCCTCGGCCATTCCCCTAATCATCTTTGTGTCTGAGCCCATTGTAGCCACTGGGCTCATCCTTCTCACGTAAGGTCTTCCTCTGTTTAGCTGACCTACGTCACCAAAGCATGGCAAATCCCTCTGATAACCTGTCTACGGTACCAGAAAAGCTCACAACCACACCAGCTGCCATCGAGTTGATGCTGACTCATAGGGTAGAGTAGCCCCTTTGAGTTCTGATGAGACTATAACTGTTTCCAGGAGTAGAAAGCCCCTCCTTCCTCTTACCTGTGGTTTCGAAATGCCGAGCTGGGGATTGCAGCCCCATGTAATCACTAGGCCACCAGGGACAAAGCCTCCCCATCCTTGCTTCCACGGCGCACACTGGCTGCACGTCCCCCAAGACAGACTTGCGTGCTCATCTGTGGTACTTTCACTCTTCGCCCCCAACTCCATCCTTCAAAGGCTTCGTTCCTCATTCAACACCCAGCCCTCACCTGGACACAAGGTGATGGACATACCTCACCAGAAGGAGCAGCTATGACTATGCATTCTGACATATACACATGGAGAAGGGGTGTTTGAGAGAATTCACACCAGGGGGAGGGAGTTTCTCCTGGGAGGAAGGGGGGAAGTGGCTGGAAAGTGGTGGGGGGGGTGGGGTCCTATGTCCCTCTGCTGTCCCTGTAAGTGCCTGGACCTCTGGCTCAGTACCTGTTGGGGGCAAGGAGGGAGGTGTGCATAAGGAGGGCATCACAGCCATGAGTGGTGAGCTTAGAGGCCCAGGGAGCCCAGCTTCCTCCAGAGAGAATGACCGGACAGGTGTGCAGCCCTGGTGCCCAATATCAGTGTCTACATCCAGGGATGTAGAAACAGACTTGTAGAAACAGACCCTCCTGGGTCAAGGAGGATAGACCCAGGGTCCCAGAAAGGAAGGGGCTGCCTCCTGCTCCTGGAGCCCAAAGTGACTACTGAGTGCTCTCTGTCTGTGTCACCCCTACAGTGACCAGGTCCTGCAATGACCAGGACCTGGGCAAGTCTACCCAGTGAGAGACCCTGCAGTTCGGGGGATCTCAACTGGAAGGCCCCCAGAGTGGGAGCACTCCTCTTTTCCCGAGTTGGAAGCCTCACCACGCAGGTTGGAGTTAGAAAACCCCTAGTGGGGAGGATCAGGAGCTCCCTAGGTTGGAAGGGCCCCCATCCCCAAGGGGGTCCTTCCCCAGTTGGGAGGCCCAAGTGTTGTAAGTCATCCTAAATTGGAAACCCAAAAGTTGGAAGAAGCTTAAATTGACGCCCCCACCTCCAGCGGAAGGTCCCCAGTTGGAAGCCCTGCCCGCTGGCCCCCACCCCCATCTCTCCAGTAGGAAGTCCCCAGACTAGGTCCGATCCACATCTCCCCAGCACGCACACCCCTCACCCCTGCGCTCGCACCCCTCCCCACCTTCACACACACAGGAAGCGCAGGCCGCACCCAGGGCTCAGGTTCCCTGTGCCGCCCGCCGGCTCCTCCTCCCGACCACCACCACCCGTGGGCACCGGCATTATGTAATCGGCGCGGCCACAGCCACAGGCCCGGGCTTCAAAGTCCCGGGGAGATGAAGCGGCACCGTCCACGGCGCCCCGGGCGAACCCACGCCGGGAGGCAGGTGAGCCCCGGCTGCAAGTGGCCACGGCTTCGGAGCGGGGACGGTCACCTCCCGCGAGAGGGGAAGACTGCAGGGGCCTGAGGGCGGGAAGCGGGCGAGTCTGCCTCGAGGAAGATCGCAGAGCGGTCCCTGCGCGGCGCCGACTCC